TAATCAGACTCAAGCACTATGTAACACTAAAAATGCTTTGGTGTGTCTGCCACGCTTGCTCTACGTATTAACCCAAGTATCACATGGCAATGGAAATGGTTTAAGGAGAGCCAGAACGGTTAGGTCATGACAAAAGATTCAATTATCTTGGGTTATGGCAAAGGATCCAATTGTCTTGGGTCATCATCCTAGCTTAATAGGTCCTGCGTGACCTAAATTTATTGGGTATTGATGAAGGATTTTAAATATTTTAATTTTTATTATAATTAAAAATATTAATATAAAAAATAGTATTATTTGTGTTGTAACTATTTTTATTATAATTTAAATTATTAATAATAAAAATAGTATAATTTGTGCTATAAATATTTTAATTTTTATTATAATTAAAAGTATTACTCTTAAAAATAGTATAATTGGTGTTACAAATATTATTATTTTATTTATAATTAGTAGTATGAATACTAAAAATATTATCATTTATGGTATAAATATTAATATTTTTATTATAAATAATTATATTGTAATAATAATGACAAACAAACACTTGACGCTTAGGTGACCTTGCTCAAGCGCCACCCCAGCACTCAGACCCGAGCACCCAGTGGCACTTAGGGTTGCTTGGGGTGAGCCAAGTAACACTAAACTCAATGGGTTTTGCGCTATCCAATTCTATTAAGTCTTGATAAAGGATTTTAAATATTTTAATTTTTATTATAATTAAAAATATTAAAATAAAAAATAATTTTATTTGTGTTATAACTATCTTTATTATAATTTTAAGTATTAATAGTAAAAATAGTATAATTTATGTTATAAATATTATTATTTTATTTATAATTAATAGTATTACTCTTAAAAATAGCATAATTGATGTTACAAATATTATTATTTAGTGTTTGTGTTAAAAATATTATTATTTTATTTATAATTAATAGTATAAATACTAAAAATATTATCAATTGTGGTATAAATATTAGTAATTTTATTATAAGTAATAATATTATAATAAAAATGAGAAGCGGAAACAGAGCGCTTGGTTTGTCTTAGCCTCACGTGATGTTGGGGCTGTCATAACCAATCAGGTTTTTTACCAAGACCTAAAGCACTAGATAGTACTAGAGTTTGCCTGTGCATTAGACCGCCCCAAGAGCCGGGCTGCGCTTGAGCCTGGCTAGCGCAAGGGCCTGGCAACCCAAGTGCCATGTATTCTTACAGGGGCAGATATAGCACCAAGTGACTGCTCCTCATGGTTTCCGCCCTCATCAAAATTTGTGCTGACTATTTTCTCCCTCGGACATCCATTAAATGCCAAATACACCTCAACAAAAAGACAACCTCACCCCTCCTCGTTGTCATTGCAACTTCTTGTATCAAGGGCCAGACTGCTATTATATTGTTTTAATTCATAGTGCTTTGTATTTATGCAAACAGTAACAGTGACATTGAACCCTTTTAGTATATTGTGTGATATACTGCCTTTTCTTGATCCTCAAAAACTATTTTATAGCTCATTTAGTAATATGGTGACGATTATTTTTTAAAATGTTTTTTGTTTGAAAATATATCAAAATATTATATTTTTTATTTTTTAAAAATTATTGTTAATATCAGCACATAAAAAATATTAAAAAAAATTAATCTCAAGAAAAAAAATAAAAAAATTTGTAAACAGTTAGAGTAAAAACTAATATTATTTTAAAATATTTTAAAATAAAAAATATTTTAAAAATTACTCTAAATTACAATTTCATCATCATGATAGACAGGCAAATGTCCAAGTGCCCGCCCACACCTAAACCTTCCCCGAAACTCCAAAGATGAAGATAACTAAGGTCTCTCTTGCTCATTCGAAGCTCTGCTTCTCTTTCAGCACACTACACAACACTCACTCTCCCTCCATACTTCACCAATATCTTCCCCTTACAACAAGTTAAATGAATCCCTAATTGCAGAGCCAAGAAAGAAAAAATATGCCCACAATTTCTTCCATACTTACTACCACCAACATCCTCCTTTCTTCACACCCTTCAACTTCCACTCATCCTTCCAAAGTCTCTTTCTTTCCCTCATTGCACCCTCCCCTTTTCTCCAAATCTCTTTCGTGTCCTTATCCTCTATGTAACTTTTTAAGAAATCCCAAGAGAATAGTTTCTTCAAAATCATCTGAAGCAGAGGAGATATCTTCAACAGAAGATGAGTGGCTTCAAAGACTCCCTGACAAGAAAAAGCCTCTTTACTCTCATAGCTTACCTTGCATTGAAGCTTGGTTGAAGGATTTGGGGTTTTATCAAAGCAAGGAGGACCGTGCTATTTGGTTTATTGAGAAACCTGATTGGCATGCTCAGTTGTCACTTGATGTCACTGATCTTTTTATAAGGTAAAGTTGGGTTTTTTTGGTTTTGGTTTGTGGTTTTACCATCTGGGTTTTTGTTGTTTTGTATATTTGTGTTGAGGTTGTGTGATTAATTGCTGTCAAGTTTTGAACTTTGCTTATGGTCATGAGGTTTGGTGCTTTGCCACTGGTGTGGTGTATTATATTTGATCTAACTCTTACTGTGAATGGTTACCTGATAGGTGCTTTTGCAACATGTTGATTACTTGGTTTCATTTTTATGATTATGTTGAGTGGTTTTTACATGTAATTTAAATCTTTTAGAAGAAGAAGGAAACTTGTGCTTCTGTGGAAAAAAATGGTGTTTATTTTGATTTGAATTGGTGAACAACAGATGTTTTGGGTGAGCTATATCGTAGCTATCCTTAAATTATGCCTGGTGGTTTTGGATGGTTTTCTATGGCTTTTGCTGTAATCTGACAAGTCACCGTGTGCTTTGTCATGGCTATTGCTCAAAGTTTGTTTGTCCATCTTGGGCAACATAATCCTAAAGGAAATTATTTGTATAATGATGGAATTGATATATTCTTGTTAGTGCTGGGAATTCTGCTCCCCAGAAGAGAACATATTCGAGGAAAAGGATCTAGCTGGTCCCAACTACTCTGACTCTAGGGATTTGGTGAGGTGAGATGAGTAAAGGGACTATCACCATATAATAATTTTGGCTGATGCAATGAAAACCTTTCTAAGCCTGTAAAAAGCTGAAGAACCACTGTTAATAGCTATCCATTTTATCTACAAAACAGTACATTGTATCCACATTTCTCCTTATTTAGTCTTGTTGTAATGTGTGAAACAATCTAGCCAGTATGATAGTGGTTTGCTTCTGGGAAAGAAGAAAAACATGGTGTGCGAGGCTTGCTTTTGGGGAAGAAGAAAAACATGGTGCAGAACAATATTATTGAAATATTGGTAGTTTATAGATGACTCGAATGAATAAATTTGTTGTTGTTTCAATCAGATTAGCAGTGCTGCAGTCTGCAGCTAAGTATATAGTAAAGAATTGAGTTTCAGGATTAGCAATTGTAAGTGTGAATTCACTTTTTGTGGAAGGAGCAATGGGGGCAATTGATGATGGAAGATTTCTAAAAGTGATCAGCTTGTTTTGCTTCGGATAAATTTTTGCGTATAGGAGGTGAAAAGCATGGTGCTGCTAGAGTTAGAATTGGATGGATGGTTGCATGACATATACCCATACAATGCAGATAATAAGTTATAGGACTAACAAAAGTTTCGTTTTCATGATAATGTAGAAAAGTAGTTTCATGCTCATAGATGATGCAAATATAAGGATTCAAGTATGAGCAAAAGCTAAGATGGATTAGTGATTATGTGAAGGAAATTGGTATCAAATATGTGAGAAGTTGGAGGCAGTATCAGTCAATGGTGACAGGGAAGTTAGCGAGTGTATTATAGCTTGCAGATCAATTGGTTAACATTGATTCAAATTGGGCTAGCCAGAGTCCTTCTAAAATTAATGACAGAAACCTCCTTTTCATATCTGTGTTGTGTTCTTTAAGAAAATGGATTTCTCAATTTAAACAGCAGCTTCCATGTTCTTGGATATTGTCTATCTTTGACTATGGTGATGATGAGTACAGACCTTTGAACGTTTGTTTTTACCAAACTTTCTCCACCATCAAGTCTTCTAAAATATTAGGCAAAGTAATTACTTTCGGGCAGGTGCCGTTAGAGAACTAGGTGGTCAGTAGGTGCAATCTGTCTTTCTTTCCTTGCTAGGTGCAAAAGGCTCTTTGTTGGTCTTGATGCCGAGAGCTAGAGTTCATCCAATTCCATATGTGACAGACTTTTTGAGAACATTTGAATTTGACTGCTACATTCAAGAAAGCTTTCAAGGTAGCTGACGCTCCTATTCAAGAGCAAGGCCAGTGCAACGATACCATTTCTCACTGAATCTTGGTTGATTTCCAATAGAGGAAAAGGGATGATGGAGAGGTCTGGATAATTTTAAGGGCAAAACAAGGTTCAATTCGTGATGCTGCTTGCCTGAAAGTTCACTTTTCCCTACCCTCCCTCGCTATTCAATTATTTGAACGCTCAACCTGACTGGACTAACCAATTGATTTATCGAATTCCACAAACTAAGATATCATCATTTATCCAGGGTAGTTATATTTTGCTCTTGGAATGGATTCTGAGATGCTCATTTGATGCAAAAGGGAGGAAATAAGTCTCCATACTAAGTTACGCATTTCATCTTTTTAGTTTTATTGCTGGGCTAAACAGATTGTATCTTGTGATGCAGGTACTTGAAGAATGGACCAGGGAATCTTGAAAAGGATATGGAGAGGAGATTCAGTTACGCACTGAGTAGAGAAGATATAGAAAATGCCATTCTTGGAGGACCATAGAGTCAATGAATGCGATCATTGCATCCTTTGAATGGTCTCGTTATTTATTCATGGAATATCTCATAGGACTTGCATGGTGCACATTCCTCATGCTGGCACATGCCCTACTTTTTTTGTTTTATTTTTCCTTTAATGTATCCTAACTTGCCTAATCCTCCTTAATGGGCTTTGATGATTGATAAATGCCGGACGCTCTTGCAAAAATGGCCACTTTTGTTGAATTGCCCAGCAAAACTTGATATTTGAATACAATTACAAAACTGACGCTAGGAACTTTTGTTCCTCATCCATCTTTTACCCCCCTTCCTATCCCTACAGTATTTTTGTGATACGCCAAGTCCTCCTCATACCTTGTCCTGGAACCATTGTCTTTGCTGCCAGCTTCGTAGTGATTCTGCTGCATGAAATAAATTTCAGCTTCAATGTGATTCTGCTGTGTGTAAATGAGACCAGTACTCCATCCCAAGCTGTCCCAACAGTGAACGTTCTGTCTTCATTAGCTTTATTGGCTCATCATACGCTACTACTTTTCCTGAAATAGATCAAAAACAGCTCACTGGTGCATCTTGAATTTTGTTCTGATATATCTCTACATAAAGTTCTCACGACAGTTGACTCACTTTCTCAAGTGTTAAAGTTCTGTTCTATCTTTTGCTACTCCGGAAAGGAGACCTATGACATTATATGAATTAACAAAAAATGGCATGCTCACCATCACGGTTGCTCTCCTATGAGCAACTGTGATCACAGTGCGATCTCAAAATTCAGTCTGTATAGACTTCTGCAAAATCAAGTCAGTTGCATTATTAATAGTTTTTACTGATTATCTAGGATGTTGTTTTTAGACCTATCAATATAACTGAGTTCTATGGGATTAATTCTCTAATAATTTAATTCTCTCTCTTAAAAAAAAAAATCATTACAATGCCTAAACATGTTTTTTAGATATTAAAAAAAAAAATCATTACAATGCCTAAACATGTTTTTTAGATATTAAAAAAAAAAATTAATCGAATCCACCACGAATTGCAAGCCAATAATCTAGTTAGACTTTATGGCATATCTTGATGAAATGTCTGGAAGCATTTCTTGAAGGGTCTAAAACAATTTTTCCCTTCTAAGAGCATATGTGTAGATCTCCCTGACACTATTCTGATCCAATATCTCCCATGCATAAGATCGTGGATGGGGTTTTCGGCTTTCTTGACCTCTTAAACAACCTATTTTTTGGACAACTTGATGTATTGCATGTTGAAAGATAGAGAAAATTATATTTCTCAAGCTTTAAAAATTACAAGTAAAAAAACAACTAAAAACTCTGATTTGGTAAATTTTGAATGTTAATAATAATAATAATAATAATATGAATAATCTAATCTAAAAATAATGTCCAAATTGTTTAATAGTTGTTTAAACCAACATAATTAATGAAATCCAAATTAAATAAAATTCTGAATTTTAATTAAAAAAAGAATTAGAAAAAAAATTATTCCTGTTCTTATAAAAAAAACACCAACTTCCTTATTGTTTCATGCATTTGAAAATCTATCTGTTCTGAATTTGGCTAACAATTTTAAATGAATAGATTATTTGGTATCATGAAATGATTATTTTTATTAAAAAATTTGTTGGGAAATTTATCGAAATATTTTTTTATTTTTTAAATTTTATTTTTAATATCAACAAATTAAAAACACAAAAAATAATTAATTTAAAGAAAATAAATTCAAACTTTTTTAAAACAGAAAAATAAAGAAACTCGAAATTCACCTTTGTTTACTCAAACAATAAGTTTACACAACAACAGTTTTTCTCTTCTTCTCTCTTTTTTTTTGGGAGAATGACCATCATTACTGAAAAATTGCAGTGCCTTGGCATTTGCAGACCCAAGTGGAAATAAACTGCACGGAGAGATGCTTGAGACTATATATATTGATTACAAATTTACAATTAAAGAGACTCGTTAAGAGTAAAGAAGATGAAAGTGAAGTGGAATATAACACGAGCACTTGCATCGTGACTATAACTATAAAAATAGTTAGCATTCACCGACATGCATGCATGAAAGAATTCATGCTCATGATGGTGGATGCAGAGGAAAGATTAAAGTTTGTGTGGACTCTCTCTCCATATAAATATTCTTCAATTTTCACCTCCGAGGAATAAGAAGAATGAAGCTCTTGACACTCGTGGAAAATGGCCAATTATATTCAATTGCCCCGTAGAAATTAGCAAGCTTGATGTTTGAAAACAGGTGTAGAGCAGTGTTGTTACAATACTATAGATCCTACTTCATTCCCGGCCCCGGAATATCCTTCTTTTTGCTGCCATGCCAGTGCGAATTGTGAAGTGGGATACATGAGAAATAATCGTCAGCTTCAATGTGATTCTGCTGCGTGTAAATGAGACCAGTACTCCTTCACAAGCTGACGAAATACTGAGCCTTCCTTCTTCATTAACTTCGTTGGCTCATCGTACTCGACTAGGTTTCCTGAAATGCAACAGAAACAGCTCACTGATGGATCTTGGAATTTCTTTTGATAGCTCTATTAGTCTCTTTCTTGAGCGATAAGTTGTGTTTTATCTTTTGTTTTATGAAATGGAAGCCAAGTAAAAATTGAAGCAGGCAAACCTACCATCGCTGATGGCAAGCACCATTGTGCAATCCATCACGGTTGGTATCCTGTGAGCTACTATGATCACAGTGCAATCCGAAAATTCTGTCCGAATAGTCTTCTGCAAAATCAAGTCGGTTGCATTATCAATTGATGCAGTTGCTTCATCAAGCACCAATATCCTACTTCTCCTCAAAAGGGCACGGCCCAAGCAAAATAGTTGTCTCTGCCCCATGCTCCAATTTGATCCGTCTTCCACAACTGTAGCACGTTGCTCATCATTGACTGAACATTACAATCAAAAGAATACATAAACACATTATTTACTCTATATATGAAAGAAAACATACCTAAAGAATCTAAACCCTGGTCCTTCTCCTGAACAGCCTCTTGAAGCTGACACTTTCCCAGAACCTAAAAAATTCGAAACAGAATTTTCCAAGTCAGAAAGCCTGCCGATAGAGAATGTATGCCTCATCTAGTGGTTTATTGGCAATAGTCACTAGATTGAATGTGTGCAACGAATCAGAAAGTTACCTCCCATAATTCCTGGTCAGTATGTTGTGATAATGGGTCCAAATTGTATCTCACAGTCCCATTAAAGAGAGTAGGATCTTGAGGTATTATTCCGAATCGTGATCTCAGATCATGAAGTCCGATCTTAGAGATGTCAATGCCATCTACAACGATTTTTCCTCCAGCTGGTTCCACCAGTCGATATAGAGCACCAATAAGAGTTGTCTTCCCGCTGCCGGTTCGACCAACAATACCAATCTTGTGTCCTCCTTCAAACGTGCAACTGATTCCTCGAAGAACTAGCGGCGCGTCAGTTCTATATCGGATCTGTTTGATATTTGAGCTCTTTCAGTCTGTTGGCCTTCATAAGTTGTTTCATTAACACCAATAAAACATAGACGTCAAACTTACCTGCAAATCACAAATATCCACTTTACCCACTGCTGGCCAATTGGATGGAGGACGGTTATCTTCTATCACCTCAGGGGCTTCACTTGGTATATGTATGTATTGATTCAGCCTTTCAACTGAAATGATGTAATTTGCTAACGTGCACTGGTTTTGGATCGAAGACACCATGGAAATATTTAATGAAAGTCCATAGGAAAGTGCCATTCCAATAAATCCTGCAGTAATGGAAGTTGATATTAAGTTAATTATTGTTTACCAGTGTCAGAACTAGGAAGTTCCTAATATTTTATTTTATGTTAAAAAACAGTTGACAAAAAGTGACGTATGTCCTATATCTCAACAAGGAAGTTTATATATGCTCACCAGAGCTAAAAGTTCCAGGAGGAAGCAAAACCATGCAGAGTGCTGCAGAGGCAAGGACACATGCACTGAATGTTTCAAGGCGTTGAATCAACCACTCATTTGCAGCAAAACTGTGAAAGAAAGGAGTAGCGTTTATGTCAATGAGGTTAAGGTTTTTCTCAAAGAAACGTTCTTCCTCCTCGAAGGCCCTTATTGTCATGGCTCCTGCAACAGATTCAGCTAAATGATTTGCCACTAAAGACTTGGTTGTGCCATTGATCCGCATCATCTCTTTAGCAGAGGCAAAGTAATATCTCTGTAGATAAGAACCACATAATCTTCAAATCCACTTTATAAAGGTAAAAACCAACTTCAATGGCAGTGCCCCTCAAAAGAAAGAGATCAGAAACGAATATTGCCACTATTCAGTCATACAATCAATGAATTAAAACCACTACTATAAGTGCATAACAAGAATACCTGTAAGCGAATAGCCAAATAAACCATTGGGATGGAGACAAACAGGACTTGCCAGGTTATAACAGCCAGTACTCCCAGGTTACTATAAGCATTTGTGGTTGAACCAACAACAAAGATGAAACTGAAAGGAACATCAAGATCGACAATGCTCAGGTCTGACGCAACCTATGAGACATAAAAAAAGAAAACACAGGTCCAGATCTATTAGCTATGCATCATCTCTCATGAACAAAACAACAATTTCTGGGTGAGATGCTAACCCGACTCAGTATTCTTCCAAGAGGTGTGGAGTCATAGAAAGACATAGGTGCACGAAAAAGAGAATTCAGTAGCTGGGAAAATAATGACTTCGATGATTGAATACCCAAAACAACTACAGATATAGATCTACACAGCAAGAAAAGCATTGAAATAATTCCGGTACACAGATAGACAGTGATTAACCGCAATGTGCTAACATGAGGATCATCAACATTAGTTGCCATCCATGAGTTCTGCGATATCTGACCAATGGCAAACAACAGGTGACTGAATGCTGCCAGGGGAAAGTACAAGTATCCTTTGTTTTGATTCAAATACTGGATATAAGGCTTAAACCCTGTGTCTCCAACTTCTTTTTCTTCCTGCTTAATCAGTTGATCTCCTTGAGACGTTCTATGCTGCTTCTCTAAATGACTCTTCTTGATCTCCCAGGGAGGTGATCCTTCTCTTTGTGGAGCATTACCTTCAGTAAGCCTTTCGGAACCGGCTGTTTCTTTGTGTGCATTGACAAGGCCCAGAAATTCTTGGCTTGAGGACAATAGCTGATGATAAGGAGCTGCTTGTAGTATTTCTCCAACAGACATCAACTGTTAAATAAAAGAGAAAGTGAAGTTTAATAAGCGATAGAATTGCAGTGAGTGTCTAATTATTTCCTGGGTGATTAAAGAAAAGTATACTGACCATAACAGAGTCGAAAGCTGGCAAGAAATCAACTTGATGCGTCACAAGCAAGACTGTTTTCCCTGAAAGTGCTCCCATGATATATTCCTGCCAAGAATTATGTTAGATTTTTCACGGAAGGCTAATAACTAAGAATTGGAGACAAGGCTTGCTCTTTAGAAAACTTGATTACATTAAATAAGCTTGTTGCAGTGTGTGCATCCACAGCACTGAAAGGATCATCCAACAGATATATATCTGCATTCTGATAGAGAGCACGGGCAAGTTGAATTCTCTGCTTTTGACCACCACTCAAATTGACTCCTCTTTCACCTATTTCAGTAAGATCACCATAAGGAAGCAACTCAAGGTCCTTTACCAAGGAGCAGCGCTCAAGTGTGTCTTGGTATAGTTGTCCATCCATTTCAGACCCGAATAAAATGTTCTCTTGTATGGTTCCTGTCTGGATCCAAGCTGTTTGCGACACATAGGCAACCCTCCCATATACTTGAATCTGCAGGTCATAGAAATTGAAAAGAGTTTCTCATTAGCAAAAGGCTAGTTGTTTCACTCATGAAAGAGTGAATCCGATTACCTGAATCAAAGCACATCAGTTCTTAAAGAACACAAAAAGCTAGAAGATCATTGCGACATATACTAAAGAGAAAGTTATCCAAGGATTGAAATGTAAGTTTGGAGGCAAAGTTGGTAAACTTACCGTTCCCTGTGTAAGTGGAACTTCTCCTAGAATTGCTGCCAGAAGGGTTGACTTGCCTGAGCCAACTTCTCCACATACGACCACCTTTTCACCATGCCTCATCTCTAAACTCACATTTCTCAGTGTGGGCTTTGATGGATTCCCTTCCCATGAAAAATCAGCTGACTTGATTAAAACAGAACCTTTCACAGTCCCTTTGTCACACTTTTGCCGAGTATTTCCACTCTGCAACTCTGGTGCCTCGAGAAATGTCACAATACGTGCAAAAGCAACCTTTGCTTGAACGACCACTCCAATAACATCAGAGATTGATCTAATTGGGTCTTGAACAAGACGCAAAGCCGCGATAAAGGTGAAAACATTGTTAGCATGCAGAGGTATTTTCAGGAAATAGCATGCCCCGAAGGTAGCAGCAGAGATCACTACAGGAGAAGACCATAAGAGAAAACTATTATAGGCTTTGCGCAATTGCACTGCTGACAACCATTTATACTCCACCGCTCTCAGATTTTCTATGGCATTCTTAAAATGGGTTTCCCAAGCATATAATTTCAATACCTTCATGTTAACCAGAGCCTCATTGCAAGCCTTCAATCTCTCATCTTGTGCCGCCATAAGCTTAGACTGAAACTTATGTTGTAACTTTGCTATTGGAGTGTTGCACAACACAGTGATTATTATAACTACCAAGGCAGCAAATGTTGCAAGCCCCACTGCACGGTAAAGAATTAAAAGAGAAACGCAGATCTGCAAGCTTGTTGTCCATGTCTGATGAAACCAGAAGGGAAACTCACCTATCCTGTAAGCATCTACAGTAACATAGGTCATTATTTCCCCACCCGAGTGCATCAACCTGCCAAGATTGGATAACCTCAGGTTCTTCTTATATATTGCAGCAGTGAGCAAGGCCCTTACTCTCAAACCTATAAGCCTGCTCCTGAAATAGCATTGCCTTTGTGATAAGGACTCTAAGTTCTTTGACAAGACGAGCGTCAAGGCCAGTACATAACCTTCATACTTAAAACCTGCTTTCCCTTCAGCAACCAAAATGAAGGCATTGAGAAGTAGAGGCCCAGCTGATAAAGTAAGTATCTTTAGCAAAGCAAAGAACCCAGAAATTAGAATTTCTTTCCAGTGGCACAATATAATTGTCCACAAGAGAGATGGTTGAGATGATTCAGCTTGGTTTTGTTTGTTCAGTTGCTTCAAAAACTCCATATAACAGCTTTCTGCTCGGTCTACCTCTCGCAACTTTGGTATATCCTCATCCTCCAGAGTTTTCTCCCCGCCCTTTCTCATCAACGGATTCAACCACCAAAATGAAATTTTATTAAAGAGTCCGGCTTCAGCAAACGGAGTAACTTGGACAGCAGAATCTGTTTTAATTGCACCATTGGCCTCGCCATTTAATGGTGCATATAGATCCCTTTCATCACTCCCTTCGTGATTATGTACCTTGCAAACACATAACAATAACAATATTGCTCCTGGAAAGGACAGGACATCCAAAGCTATCTCAACCAATATTCCTTTTCCTAAAATGACACTGTATATGGATAAAGCACAGACAATTACAGCAAACAAGGCAAGGATGGACAGTAGCCGCAACCGCATTCTTTGAAGATGCTTCCCCCGAAGGCTTATGTTTAAACCCACTAAAAGCCATGTAAACCCCTGAAACAACACCACAAGCCAACTTTTCAAAGGAAAGGCGGTTTGTTTTTTCCTCAGCTTCTCTTCTAAAATCCATATGCCCGAGCACAAGTACACAAATCCAATACAACCATTGAATATAGCAGAAACTATCTGTAGCCTTGAATAGCCTCGAAGTCGAGGTGGGATTTTATCTATTTTTGGCGATGAAGAAGATTTTAGTATGAAAGTGAATAAGAGCATGATTAGAAGCAAAACATCGAAACCAATAATCAACGCGCGATTGATACATGAAGTTGGTTGAAACACCAGACTAGAACTAGATGGCTTTTCACCAATATTCAAATTGCCGGATCCCCCACAAAACACCATCCACAAGTCCTCCATTAGCTTTGCTTTCCTATTTACTTCTCAGCTTCTTCACTGGCATACAAGGTAAATAAGACTGGTCTGTGTTACAAGATAACTCATCAATTTATCAAATTTCCAGAATCATCCAACAACACATTTAGTAAAATTTGAAATTAAAAAAAAAAAAAGCTTTCTGCACACACCCCAGAATGGTGAGTGCCATCAATTACAAAGAACCTAAAAAAGAAAGAAGAAGGTTCAGATATAGAAGACAAAAAGAAATTCTCAGAAAGTGATGCGTGTTTTTTTTTCGAACAAATACATATCAGTTATGAAACTTTGGAAAAACCGTGGTCTGGTATGGTGTGGGATGGAACAATGTACTGCGTCGTCATGGCTCACGTATGGCCTGTCTGTTTGACGTATGTTTTGTCTTTTGTCTTGTTTTCGGCTTTCCAACAAAGACGAGAGACCCTGTGGACCGATCAGTGTTCTTCATTTCTCTTCCTGGTCAGAACTGCTGTTTCTTGCTCCATTCTACTTCCCACATGTAACATCACGACTTGTTTCTAATTCATTAAATATATATCCTTTCTTCTTTGTTTTTCCTAATCTCAGAACAATATTAGAAAAAAATATAAAAAATTTCAGATGTATAAAATAAATATAAAAAATATATCTTTAAAATGATTAAAAAATACTTTGTTTTAATTGGCATGTGACACGTATTAATTAAAAAAAAAACCTTATCATCATATAAAAAATATTAAATTAGTCACAGGTTTATATAAAGATTTTCTTGATTGAATTTTAAAGTATCACATATTCTTGATTAATTCATTCCAGTCATGTCAATAAGGTCTTTTCTTTTCTTCTTTCATGTGCGCGAGTGTGTGTTATTTTATGCAATAAACAACACCATTTTGAAGAGAATCTGACATCATTTGTCAAAATACGATGTTTCTAGACAGAGAACCTATTCAGAAATTCCTACTGGGATCATTATTTTTAATTTAATTTAATTTTTATTTAAAATAAGTTATTTAAAAAAAATCAAAACCAATTTAAACCAGTTGATTTTGATTTAATTTGAATTTTTAGAATAAAAACTAGTTTAAACTAATTTAATTTGACTTTTTAGATTTGGCTAGGTTTAACTCAATTTTATCTCAATTTGACTCGATTTTTTTTGTTTTAATTTAATTTTTTAATTTAATTTTTATTTTGGTTTAGTTCAATTTAATTTTCTCGATTTTAAGCTTATAAAATCAAAACCAAACTAAATCGGTTGATTTTTTAAAAATTTTAATCAATTTATTTAATTATTTTTTTTTAGTTTTCTCAAATTAATCAATTTTTCAATTTTTTTATTTATCTCTACTTCCTCCTCCCACGAGTAATAAAATTGAGAATCAAGCTATAAGTAGTGACAAAAATAAAATCTTTCTAGATTATGGTTGGGTGAATAATATAATGGTTTATTATGGTATAAAAATATTATTTATATTTAAAAATATATTAAAATAATATTTTTAAAAAATTATTTTTAATATTAATATATCAAAATAATCTAAAATTATAAATAAAAAAATAATTTAAAACAATAACATGATTTGTTTTTTTTTACCAAGCCAACCTCTGATTTTCCAACAAGTCTTCTAAGCTATTATTCTAAATACTCATTCGATAGTAAGGTGTGTAATATTTTTTAAAATTATTTTTTAATTAAAAATATATTAAAATAATATATTTTTTATTTTTTTTATTTGATATAAATATATTAAAAAAATTAAAAAATATAAATTTAATATTTTTTCAAGTGAAAACCAATTTAAAAAATAAATGCTAATATAATATCAAATGAGCAATACAAGGGTATACAAAATAAATGCTAATACAATATCAAATGAGCATACAAGGGTATACAAGATAATAATAATAACAACTTTTCTTTTTGTTTGAAAATATATTAAAATAATATTTTTTTTAAATTTATTTTTAATATTAATATATAAAAATAAAATTAAAACATTAAAATAAAATTAAAATAAAACAAATCAAAATTTCTTAGAACTCTGACTACACTGCTGCCTCAAACGTGCTTTTAAGTCATTTGCTTGCCTTAGGAAGCCTCATCGAATACAAAATGGATTAATTTTAAATAAATTAAGCTTTTAATTATTATTCGCATTAAACCAACATTCATGGGAAGGAGGGAGTATAATATAGTGATTAAAATATACTGAAAATGAAGAGAAAGTTTTATAATCACTTTTTTTTTTTTGCAAATAAAAATTGAAGTTCGTTAACTATGAATAGTCTTTTTTATTTATTTATTTTACCGATTTTCAAAAATTAAGAGTAAGTATAAATAAGATGACTGCAGAGGAAACAACTCATAAAACGGGCAAGTCTGCACCCTGTAAATCAGAATAGCCAAGCTCTTGACACCAGACATTCAATTTCCCTGCAGAAACTAACGAGCTTGATGTCTGAATATGTCACGACCCGAATCCCGGGTCCATGACCGGCAACGCAGGAGGAGTGTCGAAAGGACACCCCACCTACGCTAAGCCTCAAAACATACATATCAAAATAATAGATATTCAAAAATACGCAGCATTTCATAATCTTCAGAAATATTATATTACTCAAAGCTGATGAAATCAAAGGATAGTCAAAACTCTTCATCAGTAATTAAAACAAAATAATAATTCATAATACTCATTACATTGTCAAAATCCAAACTTAATTAAAACAGAGTAATAGTGGAGCGTCTAAGACTTCGAATCAAAACAACCTTGAACAATAAGCAAGGCATACCGACCCAAAACTGAAGAAGTAGGAACACTCAACAAAGTCCAACTGCTATCAGAAACTAAGAACCTGAAATAATATTAAGAATGAGGGGTGAGTTCAACCAACTCAGTGAGGGAATAATATTTAATATACATTTTAGATTATTTTTCATATAAATATTTTATCAGATGATTTATCTTGATATACATATACATATACATACTAAACATATTATCATAACGTAGCGGAATACATGTCAGAGATCAGATGACACCCGAAGGTGACCAGATGACACCCGAGGGTGACCAGATGACACTCAAAAGTGACCAGATGACACCCGAAGGTGACCACTGTGGGATGATCAGTCGCCACAGGCTGATGCTTCTCTCATCAGCTAGGTATACAGAATACTATGTGCACATAGGCTAACTACTCTCCGTTAGCATGGAGTTACTGACAAGTCCTATATCAAGGCATAATAGATATTTACAGAATCATCAAAGAAACGTATATCATATCAAATAGAATTTAGCTCAATAAAATACGAGTGCAAATTTCAAGAATAGATGAGTACTCGGAAAACAAAGCAAAATATATAAATATAAATATTCAAGAGATTAACTAATCGTACTCATCATATAATCAACATACATATTTACTTATATTATATGCATATTAAAGATTATCCCACTCACCCGGAAAATATAGAACTAAAGGAACGTCAGACGAAAGACCCGAAAATCCTATTGAGGATCGTTAGGAGAACCTACAACAATATATGAAATATACTCAAAAACAACTCAAACAAAATATCTCAATGCATAAAATAAAACTAGGTTTACTCTCCTAGGTTTAGGGACTAAAACGATAATTATCCAAATAGGGACCAAAATGTAATTTTACCAAAACTGGACCAAACTGTAAATATATAACCATACTGAAATTTCACCCATAAACCATCCTTCATTCTGTCCAGAACGAACTAGGGACCTAAAAGTAATTTTTATAAAGTTTAGGGACTAAAATGTAAATTCCTAAAATTTAGGGACCAAACTAAAAATATTCCAAATCAATTATCAAACTGAGATTTATCATCCTTAACCTCATAAAAACACTGTCCAGAATCTCAAAATACCATTAGGGGTCAGATTATAATTTTCCCAAAGTTTAGGGACTAAAATGTAAATTCTTAAATTTAGGGACCAAACTGGAAATATTCCAAATCAATTATCAAACTGAGATTCATCATCCTTAACCTCATAATAACACTGTCCAGAATCTCAAAATACCATTAGGGGTCAAATTATAATTTTTTTCCAAAGTTTAGGGACTAAACTGTAATTTCCACAAATTGAGGGACCAAATTGAATTTTCGTCATCTTCAACCTCAAACCCAGAATTGTTCACAGATTACCTACTGTTCTTTCCAGAATTCCAACTCAAAATTCACAATTTACACAAATCATAACTCAACATCATCATCTTTACCAACAATCTCTCAAAATCAACTAATTAATCAATTACCCACAACAATCAACCCTATAACATTCAAATTAATTCATCAATTAACCCAAAACACAAATTTTCAAAACCCTAATATTATCAAAACATAAATTTAAATTTCAAACAACACATTTATACATTTAACAACCTAAATCTTACCTTTAAAGTTATTTCTTCTCAATCTCTTCCTTTTCCCTTCTCTTCCCCTCTTTTCTCTTCTTCTTCTTCCTTCTCCCTCTCTTACGTTTGCTCTCAAAAAAACACAGCTCCCTCTTTTGTTCTTTTGTTTTATTTTCTTTCTATTTATATTTATCAACTATTATTCAATTACCACAATACCCCTCATTTAATTATACTTACTCTTTAAGCCACCAAGGGCTTGGTTGCCCTTTCCTACTAATTTTCAAAACATCACAATCTCCCCACCTTATAAAAGTTTCGTCCTCGAAACTTAAAATTTAAGAACCAAAGTCTTACTATCATGATCAAATAAATTATTTAAAACTTATCTCTAAAATTGTATTTCTTAAACTATCATTTAGAGTCCATTTCAAAAATCAATAAATACCACCATGTTTTCGTTGTGCAATCTGATATATCCAATAAAAAAAATATCTGATATATAACTTTTCTTAATTTATATCCCTCAAAATTAAACAAAACACCCTCAAATTTTTTCTTGGATCAAATTTTCTCAAACAACTTATCTCAAATCATCTCTTCAAAAATCAATAAATACCACCATGTTTTCATTGCGCACTCTAATATCCAATAAAAAAAAACAATATCTAATGCATAACTTTTCTTAATTTATATCTATCAAAATTAAACAAAACGCCCTCAATTTTTTTTTTTTAAGCATTAGGTAAAAGAATCCAATCATATAGTTGGGGAATGCCATAACGTAACATAGTCTAATGAACAGACAACAATTATGAGCTTAAACTTTCAAGAGGTACCAAACATAAAGGTGATGTCGCTTGCAAAAGCAATTAGTGATAAAGATAAAAAGATACATGTAGTTCTTTCAACCACCATAACAACTAAAGAGTCAGATGAAATGATAAAGACTATAAAGGAGGAACATAGTTGTTGCGACAAGATCAAGGCAACAATTATGGTAAAAATAACAAAGACTAGCTTGGAAGAAGTTTAGCTGGGTGATGACAATTCGTTATAAGATTTCTAATATTACCTCAAATGATAGTGTCTTTCTTGGAATTCAAGCAAAAACACGTCAATAGAAAAAAATAATAATTTAAAGATAACATGGGACTTGAGCTACCCTATTTAAACTTGACATCTCAAATTTCAATTGATAATCGTGAAAACATAACGAAGGAGCAAGTAGCCAAAGAAAACATAGATACAGATGTCGTTTATGAATCCAAAGATCACGGTATTGAAGAGCTAGTCATATGCAGAATTAAAAAGGAAAATGAGAAATCCTCAGAAATAGTTGTATCTCTAGGTGTTGAAGTAGTAGTAAATAAAGTTGTTATTGACTAACATTGTCTAAAAGTCATATAGAAGAAGAGCAAAGAATTTCAACAATAACTAAAAGAAAGAAAGAGAAATAAAGGATGTGGAGTTGTTGGAAGATTATTTGAGAAGAACAAAAGATGTGTCTTAACAAAATTTGAGTTCAAATGAGATATTATAAAAAAATATGGAACTTATGATGAAACTAAAGAAGAAATCAAGTACAATACAAAATTAGTATCCATGACTAATTCTTAATGTTTAAGCACTATAAGAAGACGAGAGTATTTCAAGCCAAACTATCTCAAAAGAGAAATTAAAGAGCAAAATCAGACACCAGAAATGACTTTTTTTTTTTTTCCTAAGAAAAAAAAAAGATTGTAGGACTGAAATGATTATTAAGAATGTTAAAGATTATGTGCTGGTGGAAATACCGACTGATCCATAAAATCAATCTCCACAAAATAAATAAATAACAGGAGATACATGTTTGCATAAGGATGAAACCAATGAGCTTGAAAACTCAAGATTTAGGGTTGAACTCAATACAAGCATACAAAGGGATAGTATAAATAAAGTCCAAGTAGAAGAAAGGCAAAACCCAATAATCCCTTAAAATTACAAACTCCAGAATATAAAACAAGTAAAGAGGCTTTTGAATATATTTAAAAAGTTCATGGCCACAAAGACTTCATTACATCAGAAGGAACTGAAGTCAAAGAAAATCATCTAGAGGTAACAATAATTGGTTTGGTGGCAGGAGAGAATCAGAATAAGAAAATAGTTGATACAACTGAAATCATACTTATGTTTCATAAGTTAAATGCAATATAAACATGCAGAAGAACTATTCAAATGAGTTTGATAAGAAAGAAGGCAGAACACTAGATGAAAATTCAACACTACAACCTCAATGATGCGAAAATAGATAAAAGATAAAGAATATCTCTATCAGAAGTAACAAAATGACAGAAATAACAAAGACAAGAGCATTTAAAAAAAAAACTCCAATCTTAGGGCTAGACGAGTGAAGAGAGGTGTAATACCCCAAAGCCTTACCAACACACGATTTAAAGTATCACCATAGACCATCATAATTATACAAGCCTCTTATATACATATCATACAGAACCCGAAAGGAAAACTTGACAATTAAATTTTATTAATCAAATATCTTAATCCAATACTTTATCATTGTAAGTTTATAGTAGTTTGTACATACAATCTTCATATCATCAATTTACCCAATTTCAAATAACTATATTAATCAACATATAGATCATAATAACCTTAATAAATAATTCTCCAATAACAGTATTGTCATCCATAATTGATTAATCACATTTCAACTTTCTCATGCATTCAAAATCTATATTTTTCGGATAAAATATCGCGAAAAGGGATAAGTTTTCACAGCTCAAATCTTATCAAACACATACATTTCATTGAATATTATCAACCATATATATCTATATCATAGAAAATATTATTAGACACATATTTCAGAATACTTATAAAAGATCACACATATAGATATAAATATGATGTAAAATCAAATTTAAATACAAAAATACTATAGGTTGTTCAAATACTCAAAAACACATTCTGACATCCAATATATATTCACTAACCTTATTCATACATATACATACTTTTAAAGTACTACAAGTCAGAAAATCAAATATAAATAGAGTATTAAGATATGTGTAAGGTCTTTCACACCAGCTAGTGTTAGTAATCTAACTTGTTTAACTCAAAAATTCATATCAGATTCATATGTCAAAATTACTCAAAAACTCATATTAGATTTATATTTCAAAATCACACAATGACAAATCAAATATATAGATGAATCATATTTATTTCAGATACGATATTATTCTTCTGATAATTCAAAATACTTTTCAAAATTATTTATAATAATTACTCATTCCATATCACACACATATCCACATACATATATTTCATAATTACTGACAAGATATATACATATATTATACAAATACTTCCAGAAATACATACTCATATACATATATTATACAAATACTTTCAAAAATACACTTAAACCAAATACTCATGCTTAAGTATTTCCCAAAAATATTATACTCAAATACACATATTATACAAATACTCTCAAAGATATACTTATATCAAATATTTACACACAAGTATTTTCTCACATGAATGCAAAACACAGATACCACATATATTATATCCAAGAATACTCCTATATCAAATATTATCACATATGTATAAAAAAACAAATATATTATATATAATATATTCGATGATGTTATATCAATATTCGTATACATATATCTTCCATCACACGTATATCAACACAACAATAAAAAGAGTAAAAAAAACAAGACAGAGGAATCACAACAAGACGAGAGAGATCCTAAGCTCCACATATTACGAGGGTTTTAACAAAATCAGATTACAGGGTGTTAACAAAAACAAATTATGAGATTTTAACAAACTAGGCAACAAGGTTTTAACAAAAATAAGGTTACGAGATTTTACAAAACCGAGCTCTGATACCACCTTTGTCACGACCCGAATCCCGGGTCCATGACCGGCAACGCAGGAGCAGTGTCGAAAGGACACCCCCCCTACGCTAAGCCTCAAAACAGACATATCAAAAGAACAAGATATTCAAAAATACGCAGCATTTCATAATCTTGAGAAATATTATATTACTCAAAGCTGATGAAATCAAAGGATAGTTCAAAACTCTTCATCAGTAATTAAAACAAAAATAATAATTCATAATACTCATTACATTGTCAAAATCCAAACTTAATTAAAACAGAGTAATAGTGGAGCGTCTAAGACTTCGAATCAAAACAACCTTGAACAATAAGCAAGGCATACCGACCCAAAACTGAAGAAGTAGGAACACTCAACAAAGTCCAACTGCTATCAGAAACTAAGAACCTGAAATAATATTAAGAATGAGGGGTGAGTTCAACTAACTCAGTGAGGGAATAATATTTAATATACATTTTAGATATTTTCATATTAATAATTTGTCAGATGATTTATCTTGATATACATATACATATACATACTAAATATATTATCATAACGTAGTAGAATGATATACATATACATATACATATACATACTGAACATATTATCATAACGTAGTGGAATACATGTCAGAGATCAGATGACACCCGAAGGTGACCAGATGACACCCGAGGGTGACCAGATGACACTCAAAAGTGACCAGATGACACCCGAAGGTGACCACTGTGGGATGATCAGTCGCCACAGGCTGATGCTTCTCTCATCAGCTAGGTATACAGAATACTATGTGCACATAGGCTAACTACTCTCCGTTAGCATGGAGTTACTGACAAGTCCTATATCAAGGCATAATAGATATTTACAGAATCATCAAAGAAACGTATATCATATCAAATAGAATTTAGCTCGATAAAATACGAGTGCAAATTTCAAGAATAGATGAGTACTCGGAAAACAAAGCAAAATATATAAATATAAATATTCAAGAGATTAACTAATCGTACTCATCATATAATCAACATACATATTTACTTATATTATATGCATATTAAAGATTATCCCACTCACCCGGAAAATATAGAACTAAAGGAACGTCAGACGAAAGACCCGAAAATCCTATTGAGGATCGTTAGGAGAACCTACAACAATATATGAAATATACTCAAAAACAACTCAAACAAAATATCTCAATGCATAAAATAAAACTAGGTTTACTCTCCTAGGTTTAGGGACTAAAACGATAATTATCCAAATAGGGACCAAAATGTAATTTTACCAAAACTGGACCAAACTGTAAATATATAACCATACTGAAATTTCACCCATAAACCATCCTTCATTCTGTCCAGAACGAACTAGGGACCTAAAAGTAATTTTTATAAAGTTTAGGGACTAAAATGTAAATTCCTAAAATTTAGGGACCAAACTAAAAATATTCCAAATCAATTATCAAACTGAGATTTATCATCCTTAACCTCATAAAAACACTGTCCAGAATCTCAAAACACCATTAGGGGTCAGATTATAATTTTCCCAAAGTTTAGGGACTAAAATGTAAATTCTTAAATTTAGGGACCAAACTAAAAATATTCCAAATCAATTATCAAACTGAGATTCATCATCCTTAACCTCATAATAACACTGTCCAGAATCTCAAAATACCATTAGGGGTCAGATTATAATTTTCCCAAAGTTTAGGGACTAAACTGTAATTTCCACAAATTGAGGGACCAAATTGAATTTTCGTCATCTTCAACCTCAAACCCAGAATTGTTCACAGATTACCTACTGTTCTTTCCAGAATTCCAACTCAAAATTCACAATTTACACAAATCATAACTCAACATCATCATCTTTACCAACAATCTCTCAAAATCAACTAATTAATCAATTACCCATAACAATCAACCCTATAACATTCAACTTAATTCATCAATTAACCCAAAACACAAATTTTCAAAACCCTAATATTTATCAAAACATAAATTTAAATTTCAAACAACACATTTATACATTTAACAACCTAAATCTTACCTTTAAAGTTATTTCTTCTCAATCTCTTCCCTTTCCCTTCACTTCCCTTCTTTTCTCTTCTTCTTCTTCCTTCTCCCTCTCTTACGTTTGCTCTAAAAAAAACACAGCTCCCTCTTTTGTTCTTTTGTTTTATTTTCTTCCTATTTATATTTATCAACTATTATTCAATTACCACAATACCCCTCATTTAATTATACTTACTGTTTAAGCCACCAAGGGCTTGGTTGCCCTTTCCTACTAATTTTCAAAACATCACAGTTATAATTATAAGCATGAACAAGCATCCAAATTCTCATATGTACAGAGATTGATGCCATTGACTTTCTTTATTAACACTCACACACACAAATGTATATTGGATGTTTACGTTTCTTTTATTATCTCATGTTACAGTATTCAAAATGAAATTACTTTAATAACAAGATCAGTTCAAGACCAAGGAAGACTTTGTATAAGATAAGGTTAAGAGCAGTCATAACAACGGCCCCGTTATTTTTCATACATAACATGAAGGGCCATGCCTGATGACAGAATTAAATACAACCCAGCTACAGTGGCCTGCACAAGAGTATAAAAATACTAAAGTAGGCCACATTCAAATTGTAGTCCGTTTGAAGGTTATTATAAAATGGACTCCAGGCTCAAATTAAGTCGGTTGGATTAGCAGGACAATTCAAACTTTGACTTTTAAAAAACAAAAAAGAAATCATTTTTCTTTTTTTTTTTTTAAAAAGAAATTGGTTTCTTTCATTTACTCAACTCGGGGCGGTAGTATGAGATATGGTAAAAATACTGCTTTGTTATTTCATTCTTTGGCATCACAGAGGCGGGTTATATATATACAGAGCCTAGGAAGCTATTATAAAAATATTAATATGGGCCTATAATCTCACAGAATTAATTACAATAAATCAAACTAATTAGGAATATACATATAGCTAATTAACACTCCCCTCGAGTTAGAGTATACATATAGTTCATGCCTAATTTGCTAAGTGAGTTGTAAAATATTTTTTCTATGATAGATTTGGTGAGGATATTTGCAAATTGATCTTTAGATTTGAAAAAAAACACCTCAATAATCTTTACCTCGAGCTTTTATTTGATAAAATGTCTATCAATTTCAACATGTTTGATTTTATTATGTCGTACTGGATTATGTACAATCTCTATTGCAACTTTGTTATCACAATTCAGTTTTATGGCATGATAGGGTTTGAACCCCAATAAATTCTTTATTTAGAATAGCTCACATACTCCATATGTTATACCTTGATATTTTGCTTCAACACTTGGTCTTGACATTACGTTATGTTTTTTACTTCACTAAGATATTAGATTGCCTTCCATAAAAGTAAAATATCAAGATGTAGATCACAAGTCAGCAACAAAGCTTGCCCAATCTATATTAGTATGACCCTCGATATCTAGATGACCATATCGTGAGAACATCAATCCTCTTCCAGGAATTGACTTAAAGTATCTCAGAATTCGGTTTACCACATCCATGTGAGCTTTCCTTGGTGTATGCATGAACTGACTTACGACACTTACAACATATGTTATATCAGGTCTAGTATGTCTTAGATAAATCAACTTACTTATAAGGTGTTTGTATCTTTCTTTGTTAGTGGGTACCTGATTAAGATATTCACCAAGTTAATAATTCAACTCTGTTGGCATGTCTGCTAGTTTGCTAGCCAATGTTTCAGTATCAATTAAAATGTCCTTTTCAGAACAACCCACGTTGATGCCTAAAAAAATAATCTAAAGCACCAAGATCTTTCATTTTAAACTCACTTGCTAAGTATTGCTATAATGCTTCCTTTTTTTTTTAGGTTATTCCCTGTAACTACCATGTCATCAACATATACAATAAGGGTAGTGACTTTACCTTTCTTATGTTTCAAGAAAAAGACATGATTTGAGTTACTTTGCTTGTATCTGAACCCCTTCATTGATTTGCTGAATTTTTTAAACCATGCTCTGGGTGATTACTTCAATCCATAAAGCGACTTTCTTAGTTTACACACCATGTTGCCTTTATCATGTCCCATTTTGCATCCTAAAAGGGATCTATATAGATTTCCTCTTTTACGTCATCATGCAAGAAGGTATTTTTGTCATCAAATTGGTGTAATGGCCAGTCTAGGTTTGATGTCAGATAAAGAAGTACTTGCATTGTGTTGATCATAGCTACAAAAGTAAAGGTCTCCCCATAATCAATCTTATAAGTTTAAGTGTACCTTTAGCCATTAATTTAGCTTTGTATGGCTTAATGGAGCTATTTACCTTAAACTTTATTTTATATATCCATCTATAACCCACTGTTCTCCTCTTTTTTAGAAGGATTGTCATCTACCAAGTGGAATTCTTCTAGAGAGACTCCATTTTATGATTCATTGCTTGGGTCCATTTGAGATTTTTCAAAGCTTCTTGCACCTTACTTGGAATGGATATAGTAGATAATTGACATATAAATGATGCACATGATAAAGATAGCCTATGTAGGGACACGTGATTAGCAATACGGTATTTAACATTTGTTTTAGGGTCAAAGTCATATTATTATCTAGGAATACCTCTAGTAGTACAAAGAGGTAGTTGATAACTTGTGTTTCATGTATTACTTGACTCAAGAAAAGCGATTAAATGGAAGATTGAATGTTTAATTACCCGTGAGAAATCATCAAGACCTGATTGGATGCGTGGTGATTGTACTGTAATAGGAGTTGTAGAGGGGAAGTTATTTGAACCAATACCAACATCTGAAGATTTAAATGACTCTTGATCTTGTTGCACCACTGTAACTGGTTATTTGGATACTAACTGTTTTAAAACCTTTTATTGAATTAAGATGATCTGAGTACCTTCTGTAAAGCTAAAGCTTTCCCCCTATAGAGCATGTTCTGAGACTCCGTCTAAGTAATATAACTCACTCTTATGGAAAGTTACATATGCAGTAATGTGCAAGGTCTGAGTTGGAGGATGAAAACATTTATAGCCATTCTAAATGTCAACATAACCTACAAGCACACAACGCACATGGATCAAGCTTGCCATGTTGGTGTGGATATATATTACGACCTAAATCCCGGGTCCATGATCGACAACACAGGAGAGGTGTTGAAAGAATACCTTACCTACGCTAAACCTCAGAACGGATATATCAAAAGAACATGTTATTTAAAAAAAATACAACATTTCATAATTTTCAGAAATATTATATTATTCAAAACTAATGAAACCAAATGATAATTCAAAACTTCTCATTAGTAATTAAAATAAAAAAAATAATCCATAACATATTATGTTGTTTAAAATCCAAACTTTACTAAAACAGGATAATAGTAGAGCATTTAAGACATCAAATAAAAACTAAAAGGAAAACCTCATAAAAAAACAAGGTATACTGACCAAAACTGAAGAAGAAGGAATACTTAATAAAGTTCACTTGTTATCAGAACTAAAAACTTAAAATAATATTAGAAATAAGAGATGAGTTTAATTAACTTAGCGAGGGAATAATATTTACTATACATTTTAGATATTAATTATATTAATAGTTTGCAAGTCGATTTATATTGATATACATATACATATACATACTAAACATATTATCATAAAGTAGTGAAATACATATCAGAGATCAGATGACACCCGAAGGTGATCAGATGACACCCGAAGATGACTAATATAGGATGATCAGTCGTCATAGGCTGATATCTCTCTCACCAGCTAGGTATATAGAATATTATATACATATATGCTAACTACTCTATGTTAGCATGAAGTTACTGACAAGTCCTATATCAAGGCATAATAAGTATTTACATAATCATCAAAAAAATTTATATCATATCGAATAGAATTTAGGTCAATGAAATATAAGTGCAATTTAATAATAAATGAGTACTCGGAAAATAAAACAACATATATAAATATTCAAGAAATTAACCAGTCATACTCATCATAGAATCAACATACATATTTATTTATATTATATGTAAAATAAAAATTATCCCACTCACTCGAAAAAATATAGATTAAAAAGAATATTAGATGAAAGACCTGAAAAATCTATTGAAGATAGTTAGGAGAACCTATAATAAATATACAAAATATACTCAAAACAACACAAATAAAAGATTTCAATGCATAAAAAAAAAAAACAGGTTTAATGTCACCACTCGATTCCCAAATCCATGTTCGGCACATAGGCAAGGTTCCCCTCCAAAGTTCCATACTTATGCGAACCCAAACTTACAAACTTATCCTTCAAATAAGTCAATTAGAGTTCAACACAACAATAACAACAAAACTAACTTCATAATAATTTAATTGTCTTTCTACAAGAGTTAATACAAATTCATAGTTGTAGAGCACTAACTAGATATAAAAAAAATATACAAATTACAACCAAAAGAGCAGGTTCTGAAGATCTAACAAAAGTGACTTGCTATCAAGCTATAAGCCTGAAAAGGGTAAATAATGAGAGGGTGAGTTCAACAACTCAATGAGTAGATAACATTCAATATACACATAAGCTTATATAATAATAAGGAATATATATACAATTATGGCTATAAGTTCTTACAAGAAGGTTTCTAAAAAAGGTCATAACAAGAATATCATAAAGTAAAGCTCATTAGAAAATTACACAATCACCAACTGAAAACTCTAAGTCACGTCTTCTTTTATCTATGTAACTTTTTTGTTTACTTTGAGCTATTTGAAGCTTCTCTCTAATTACCTCTATCTTCTTTGAGGTAATCTGAGTAAACTCTAATCCTATTAGCCTCTTTTTATCAACCTCAAACCAACAAACTGATGATCTATATTTTCGACCATACAAAGCCTCATAAGGTGTCATCTTTATCCTACCATGATAACTGTTGTTGTAAGCAAATTCCACTAATGACAGGAACTTACTCCAAACAACTCTAAAATCCATAACACAAGCTCTAAACATATCCTTTAAGATCTGAATAGTCCTCTCAGATTGACCATTTGTCTGAGGATGAAAAGTTGTACTCAACTGCATTGTAGTACCCATAGCTTCTTCTAATTTCACCTAAAATCATGATGTAAACTGTGGACCTCTATCTGACACTATCAAAATTGGCATTCCATTTAACCTTACAATCTCACTAATAAACAATTCCATCAATTTTGTATATCCATAAATAATCTTAACTAATAGAAAATGGGTTGATTTTATCAACCTGTCAACAATCACCCACATCGATAGATAACCCTCTTGACTTTTAGGCAATCTTGTCATGAAGTCTATTATGATCATTTTCCATTTCCATTATGAAGTCAACAATGGTTGCAATAATCCAGGAGATTTCTCGTGTTTACCCTTTACCCTCTAACAGGTCAAACACCTAGAAAGAAAGTTTGCTACATCAGCCTTTATCCTATTTTACCAATAACACATCTTAAAATCTGTATACATTTTGGTGGAACCTAGATGCATTGTGTAAATTGTCTGATGTGCCTCTACCATCAATTCTCTCATCAGATCATCTACATCAAGTATAAAGTCTATTCCTATATCTTAGCATATCATCATCACCTATCACAAAACCTGGAGCCTTACCCTGCTCAACCTCATTTCTGATTTTAAGTAGTGAATCATCTTTTTTCTGAGCTGCTTTTATCTTATCAAACAAATCCGACTTAACCTAAAAGTGAGCAATCATTGCTCCAGCTTCACAAGAACAAATCTGACTCCTTCATCCACTAAATTATACAGCTCCCTAATCATAGGTCTTTGTACCTCCTGAATATAAACTAAGCTTCTTAATAATTTTCTACTCAAAGCATTGGTAAATGCATTTGCCCTACCTGGATGGTACTATAGGTACAATCATAATCCTTCAGCAGTTCCACCATCTCATCTACCTTAAATTTAAATCCCTTTACTGAAAGATGTATTTTAAACTCTTATGATTTGTGAAGATCTTGCAAGTTTTACCATACAAGTAGTGCCTCCAAATCTTTAAAGCAAAAATTACAGCCGCCATCTCTAAATCATATGTAGGATAGTTCTATTCATGTTTTTTTAGCTGTCGTAAAGCTTAGATAATAACCTTGCCATGCTATATTAGAACACATCCTAACCTCACTCTCGAAGCATCACAATATATTGTGTAACCACCAGAATCTAATGATAATGCTAGAATAGGCGTTGTAGTCAATCTTTGCTTCAACTTTAAGAAACTTTTCTCACAAGTTTCAAACCACTAAAGCTTAACAATTATTTTTTTTGCATTAACTTAGTCAATGGTGCGAAAATATAAGAAAAGTTCTCCACAAACCTTCGATAGTAGCTGACCAAACCTAAAAACTTCTAATCTCTATCACCGAAATAGGCCTAAGTCACCACTTAATTGCTTCAATCTTTTGAGAATCAACCTTAATCCCATTCCTTGACACTAGAAGCCCAATAAATGCTACACTTTCTAACCAAAACTCACTCTTTAAAAACTTGTCATATAACTAATGATCTCGCAAAGTTTGAAGCACCTTCTCAAGTGCTGCTCATGCTTCTCTCTAAATCTCGAATATACTAAAATATCATCAATAAAAACTATCACAAATCAATCAATAAATTGTTTGAACATCCTATTCATCAAGTCTATAAAAGCTAATGGTGCATTCATCAATCTAAAAGACGTCACTAAAAACTCATAATGACCATACAAAGTTCTAAAAGTTGTCTTCAAAATATCCTCCTCTCTTATCCTCAATTGATGATACATAGATCGAAGATCAATCTTAGAAAAGAATTGAGCCCCCTACAACTCATCAAACAAATCATCTATACAGGGAAGTGGGTATTTATTTCGAACTATTACTCGATTCAGTTGCCTATAATCTATATACAGTCTCAATGACCTATCTTTTTTCTTTACAAACAACACTAGGGCTCCACAAGGGGACACTATCCAACAAATCACAAGAGTGAAATGAACTTTGGAATTTTTTTAAAGTTTAGGGACTAAAATGTAAATTCTTAAAATTAAAGGACCAAATTAAAAATATTCAAAATCAATTATCAATCTGAGATTTATCATTCTTAACCTCAGAATAACACTGTCCAAATTCTCAAAATACATTTAGGGGTCAAATTATAATTTTTTCAAAGTTTAGGGACTAAACTGTAATTTTTACAAATCAAAGATCAAAATAAAATTTCATCATCAAGACCATTTTGTCCAGATTTTCTAGCAAGGTTGAAATGAATTTCTTAACTCATAAAAATCAATTTAAACAAATCAACTTATAAATTCTTATTTCTAACAATATACTTAAAATCAATCATTTAACATTAAATCCTTAATAATCATGAATCAATTTTGACAACATGAACATCAAATCTTTATAAACTGTAATCTCTTAATTAGTTTTTTCATAAATAAACTATAATCGAAAGTAATATGAAATCCGATGAGTATACTATTTTTTTATTTTATTTTATTTTTGTATAACAGAAGAGGGTTATATATATACATTGAGTCTAAAAAGTTGTTTTAGGAATATTATTACGGTCTATAATCTAGTAGAATTAAATATAATGAATCAAACTAATTAAAAATATACAGATAATTGACAAAGGTAGGGCATCTGGTTGACCTATCAGATTAAACCGGATATTCCCTGCCATAAGAAGATTAAGATCTGGCTAGGCCAATATTTATAGACCATCACAGGGAGGGCAGGAGCTTATGCGAGGAAAAACTTTTCTAGAGTAGTAGGGATGGGTTTGGGAGAATAAAACAAGTGAGGACGTAATGTGATATTATAGAAGGAGATGGTGGCCATTTTTATGCTTCTATTACATTACATTATGCTCGAATACATTTATAATTACAATATCTCGTTATTTAATTTCAGATACAAATGAAAAACACCCCATGCATGTTAGAACTACATGGACAGAACCACAGCTGATTAACAATGGCGCTGGCATCTCTTAGGATGCTTTTCTTGGCTCTTCGTCTCAAACAAGACAGATTGACAAACCCTGTCACTAACAAAAAACCAAAAATCCACTTGATTATGTTCTACTTATTCTCACTATTTTTATTTTTATTTTTTGATAATCATCAAGAATATATTATAAAGACAGTAAAGTCAGTAGTGAAAGCAAAAATAAGAACATAACAAAAAAGAAAAAAAAAAGAATTTAAAAAAAAGAAAAAACTAGTTTGATACAACAAAAATAAAGAGAATACCCAAGATTTTTTTACTATTGTATCCAAGTAATTACAGAAAACATGCTTTTGCCAGTTCTCCACGAAGCAGGGAAATGCTTGCCATGAACCACCTCACATTCTGCTTCATCTCGAAAACTGTTGCATCGGGATGTGTAACATCAAGTATAAATTTAAAAATGATGTCTGAATTGCAAGTCAAATGTGCTTTTTGACAAATAAAGTCATAACTTTTAGTCTCATTCTCTACTCTCTTTTTTTAATCTTTTCTTTCGGCATCAAAGTTGCTACTGCTCCATAGGGTCTATTTCTCTTGCAGGAGAAATATGCAATGGATCTTCTTTCTGGGGCTTCTAGGACAGATTCTAAGCCAGTCCAAACACCCACAAATACATGGTAACCCGTTAATCCTTGTGCTAAATATTCTTATTTGTTTTTTATTCTAAGAAAAATAATGAATAGTTAAGTAGTTGTCTTAAAATTCTATTTCATTCGGTCTCTGCAATGCAACAGTCTTCCTTTAGAATTGGAAGCTCTTGCTATTTGAGTTCAATAACTCCACTGCGATTGGCTTAACTTACAAGTTGAAATGGGCTTGATGATGCTACTGTTTTTGTAAGTTTTGTCAATAATTTATCTTCCAATGATGTTGTTTTTATCGAATTCGACGTCCAATATTTGTATATAACTGTTTTATTTTATAAAATTATTCCTAGATCAGTTGATTGTTAAATTGTTTTAGTATGACACAAAATTGATTTTATATGAAGCATGGAAAAGGAACTGTCCCCTTGCTATAGATAAAAAAATAATATTAATTGAGTGACTTGAGTCTATTCAAATATCAAAGGGGTCAAAAAGAATTACTTCCCACTCAATTTAATTTGAAATCAGATCAAGAACCGAGTCGATCTGGTCAATAATACTTAACAAAACATGATTTTCATGAAAATAATAACATAGATCTGATCTTGTTGCTCTATTATCATTGTTACCTCATAGTATATTACTAAAAGAGTAATGCTAAACATTCAGTAGAAGAAATATAAAAACTCCTCAAGAATACCCCATTGAAGTTATTGGTTGATGCACTTGATTGGCCTATTAATAAGGCTATAAAGTTCAATAAATTAGAGGTTCAAATTTCTCAATTTTTACTTCTTGAAGGCCTTTCATGCCTGTTAAATGTTCTCATTTCCACGAGGTAAGGCACAAGAATAGCTCCTCTGTACTGGTTAACAAGAAGCTGTTGCAGACCAATTTGGTGGTCTGAGGGCTGTAAACAATTTAGAAGACGAAGAAAATCGATTTCAGCAGACATCATTAGCTAGCTAGCTAGCTAAATTAACGAAGATTGTGTCACATTTGGCTTGTGCAATGAAGTAGGAAATTTGAGTTCTTAAATACATCTTTGACTAAATTTAATGCTCAAGACATCTCTCCATCAAACCAATAATGCTTTGTATTTTTCAAGGAGCAGCAGCAGCACTCATGCACGCAGTATTTAATAAATGTAGTGCATTATACCATCAAAAGCTGCTAAAGGACTACTGATGTAGATTTGTTTACTCCTCTTAACGTCTAAGAGGGATAGGGTTATTCTGATGAAACTGATCATGAATAATCACACAAGTAATATCCTCATCTTGAATTCTTTCTTGATTCTTCAACTACCTCCAGTTCTAACATCTTCAATATGGCCAGGCTTCTAGTTTTTTTAGAGTAAATTATTGTTTAGTCCTTCAAGTTTCAATGCAATTATAACTTAGTCCGTCATGTTTGATAGTCTCGTGTCTCAATTCTATTATAAAAACATTTGCTCAACACTTTAAATTCTCAGATAAAAATCAGTGTTAATTATAAAGGCCACGTTCGGTTGGGCAACAGCAAGAGTCAGAAGACTAATTTATAGGTTTTCAAACATAAAGAACTAAGTTATAAATAAATTAAACAGTCAGGGACTAAAAGATAATTCACCCCCTTACCCTGCGAATATTGGCTTTACCTTAACCACCTGATAAGGTCATTAGTTGAAGGAGGATATACCTCATCAATCATCATCGATGCTGTCTGTGCAACAAGAAGACATGTTAGACCTTTGCTCCATTACCATATTAGCTCCCTGAATGCCCTTCAAACTTGGACTCCTCAGGCTATAATCGTTAACCATGTTACCCGCATTGCAAGTTGCCAGGTCAGGTACTGGGAAAGACAGGCGTTTTCTGGCTGAACCTGAATTTTCTCTTTCTGGGGTTGAAGCTCTCTGCCTTGGTGCACTTTGTGATCGACGAATTCTAGCCTTGGCAGATGCAGTGGCAGCCATGTAGTTAGGCATTGAAGCAGAAGAAGGATTGGTTGCTTCCATCACATGGTTTCTGCCTTCTCCTAGGCAGCGAGGGCTAGCTGAATGGACTTGAAGTAGTGTTCTTGTTTTGGAAAGGGATGGTGTGATTGGTTGTGAGAGAGTGTTGTGGTTTTTTTGAAGAGGAGAGGCAACTGAATATGAACTAGGCCTGTGTTGTTGGTAGTGATATTGATGATTGAAATTATAAGCATTTGGGGTAGAGTAAGAGTAAGGTCTCGAGGTGTCCCTTTCAACAGTTTTGACAGGGTCTCTACTGTGATATAATTGATCACACAATGCACCGCTCCCTCTTCTCTCCCATTCCTTCCTAGTTCTCCACCTGTCTAGCCATCTGGGATTCTCTTCTACCTCTCCTTCACTTGCATATGAGTCTCTTCCAGGTTTCCATATCTAACAAAGCAAGAGTTTGCGTCAAATGTTTGCTGGCTTGGTATTAATTTCCAGCCAAAATAGAAGGTGATAAATCAAATGGCAAGGGATGTGATCAAAAACCTGTTGAGAGAAAGCATAAGCAAGGGCCTTTTCACGTTTCAAGGCGACTACTTCCTTCGTTTCCTGTAACATTTCCTGTATTTCCTCTAATGTTTTAGGCTTGTAATTATTGCAATGAACCCAGTCATCAGCAGTGCTGCTTGCATCCCTACACTGCAGCATATATTGTTAAGGATTAACCAAATCAAAGCCGAGGCCCAAGCATAACACATTATCTGCAACAAAATTTATTACAGTAGATTTCCTCTCAGAAAGATTTGAACCCCACAAGCTATTCTGATCACTGGAGATGGAGTTTGTGCTGCCTTCATAGGAATCAAGCACCCGAGATTGCACCCTCACCATAGCTTGCATGCACTGAAGTATCATATTTGCTCTCTTTCTAACATTATGACCTCTCACTAAGGCTTGCATCTTTACCAGCCCCTTTAGTGCTCTACGAGCTCTCCTTGCCTTCAAAATAACACAAACATTAGTTAGTTAAAAAGTCTTTGAGATATGTAATTTCTCTTACTCTCTTTGTAATCACTTACCAGATATCCCCTAAAAGCTTTTTGTATAGCAATGGCAGCAAAATGTTGTTTAGCAAGAAGGGGAGGCCTGGTGAGTCTAACAACCTCAACAGCTGCTTGAGCTGTAGCAACTGCTGCATGTGCCGCTGCTGTTGTGGCCATGGCCGCTTCAAGGACTTGTCTTTGCTTAGCATCAGCAGCTTCAGTACCAATACTATTACTAGCAGCAGAAGCAGGATTGGTGGTTGCTGTAATGTTAGTGATGGTGGTCGCTCCACAATGGTGTATTACTGTTTCTTGATTCGATGACTTCCTGAAAATCCATCTTCTTTTCCCTCTCTTCTGCACAAATTAACCCACAAAAATTTTAATGGGAAATGTTAATTATGTTACAAAGAAATTACTAAATTTTCACCTTTTCTTCCTCCTCTTGTTCATGAACTTCTCTCCTTCTACTACTTTTCTTATCATCCTCTTTACTAGGAGACCTGAAAGCCCTTTTGACTGCGTTCAGCCAAGAACTTCCTCCAATCTTCACCATGATGCAATCAAAAGCAGTACTACGCAAAACAAAAACCTTGGCTAAATATAAAGGCAAAGAAAACCAATTAATCTAGAGCCAGTGGCTTCATAGATTTGAGTGGTTGGTATGTTTCAATGCAAAAGACAGTGAAATAAATGAACAAATAATTTAGCCTGCAAGAGGGGTAGAGCTAGTCCATCCATTTGGGAACAGGCTCTGAGCCTGTGCGTTGTCCATAATACAAAAATGTAAAATGTTAATAATAATAATAATAATAATAAGAATGTGGACAGAGTGCTTAATGCTAGAAAGAAATGGTGTTTTCTTGTGGCATGGAGAAGACTAAAGGAGTTGTGTCAGACGGTTGGAGACAACATCGAAAGAGTGAGTGCCCTCGAGAGGTGTTAATTCTAATTTAGTCCTTGTAGTTTATTGAAAATAACATTTAATCCTAAAAGATAAATAAATAATTAATCTTTGATTAATTTTATTTTTTTATCAATTTTTTTCCTTCTAAAATTGTATTTCTTGATCTCATTAGGCTATGATTTTTTTTATAATACGGTCCGCATTTGTCAAACCATAAATTTAAAAATATTTGGTTAATCAACATATATAAATTATTATTTTTTTAAAATATTTTTTTAATGTGCAACCACGATATGAAGCACATACTAAATCTTCCCAGATTGTCTAGTTCTTTTTCTTGAAAAAATAGAGAGGGAAATCAAATAAAGTGGGAAAGAAATAGATTGAAGAACATAGGGATTAAGCATAAAACTTTTGAAATTATGAGGACTAATTGAAGTCTGTTTTACTAAACTACGGAGTCTAATTTATAATTAACTCCCTCGAGATTGCTGAAAGCTGGATAGTATTTCGTGTAGTGAAGAAAAAGAGAGGAGGAGGAGTGAGTAGGTGTGCTGTGTTATGCTTTTGCTTTGCTTTTTTGTGTTAAAAACAACAAAGAAATTCCCTTGGCTTCACGTGTTGAGAGAGTCCATGGTTGCTTTCTATACATGATTATAGTCTGGTTTTGGGGATTTGGGATTAGTGGAGAAGAGGAGAACAATCTGCTTTGCTTCAGTGATCTTCCAATGGGGATGAAACAAGTATGACTCCTCAGGGCTGTTGTGGTCATTTTCTAGGCAGTGTGGCAGGGGTCTTGTGACTTGCCATGTTGGGATTGGGCTATGGAGAATTTGGGAACTCGAATGGAGACCTACCCTAGCTTAGGGTAACTTGTGTAGGGATTAGGGAAGCTATAGGCTACCTAATGTGACCTTGTTTACGGTTTGGGAGTTACAGTTTGTCCCAGTTCATAGACCAGTCAAGCTATGATTATGGAGATTTTGCTCATCTAAGATGGTGACATATGATCCAGTTGTAACAAAAAGGAAAAGGAACAAGACAGGGACTTGTGAGTTGAGATCTTCATGAGTTGCTGGAAATTAACTGCCTAGGAAGGATTCTCTTGT